TATTCACTAACAGAATATTCACATTTCTTTGGTGCTTATTGGCCCTCTACTTAGTGAAATGCTTACATTGCTCCCTGGTTAATCAGTGGGTTCCTTGTTAATTCCTGGCAAGGGTTTTTAGGGGCTGCTGCACTTTCATGGACTTTGTTCCAATCCATATCTGATTTGGCTCAATGAGGACAATTTTTTTGTGACTTCCTTGAGAGCAGAAATAGATAGATAAATGAAAGTCTTCTTGCTTAAGGAAGAAACCCTTTGGTCTTGGTGCATACTGTTGTGCTTTTTAAAAACTGAACAGTTTTATTTTATTTTATTTTATTTTTTTTAAATCCAGGTTCCATGAACCATTATAAACCAACACTGTTCTACTGGTTTTTTGGGTGTTTTTGTTGCTTTTTTTTAAAATAGAAGGAGTCCTCATTTTGATTTAAAAGAAATAGGTAAATTTTTCCACTATCACTGTGAGGAGAAAGACAAATATCTTTTCCTCTTAAATTCTTGCAGTTTGATTCTGTTCTTCACTGTGTCGCAGTGATAAGTGATGTCGTGTGGATGATTTCAGGCTGGCTGGTGGCTGGCTGCCAGCTGGCCCATCTCTGGGCTGTTCACCTCAGCAGTGGGCTGAATGTGAAGCAAGAACACCTCAGGACTCACAGGAGGGTGGAGTTGGTGCTGAGAAGGTCAATGTACTGATACAAGAAACAAACCCCCAGCGACTGAAGTGGGCAGGAGCCAGGCTCAAAGCAAACAAAAGGACATTCTTCAAACCACGTGTGGCTGGGAAGTGGAACACGGGGTGCCAAGGGTGCCAAGGGCTTACCTGGGTTCAAATATGGGTGGAACACATTCATAGAAGAGAAATGTGTGAAGGGCTGCTAAACACATGGCAACCGAGTCTGTCTCAGGACGACTCTTAACTGAAAATGCTGGAAGATGGGAGTGTTTGGGGGGGACATCATAGGAGTTTCTTTTGCTCTTTCAGCTGCTGTCAGAGGTAGAATCCTGAGCAAGGCAAATCTTTGCTTTGACCTGATGCAGGGTTTTTTTATGTTCTTGTTAGGTACTTTTTAATTTTTTTTTTAATTTTTTTTTAATTTTTTTTTAAATACAAATACTATCCCACTGTTTCCTACTTTGGCATCTCTGTTCTCTCACCCATCATCTATTTCTTATCTTTATGATTACTATTAAAGATGGAAGTTCATTATATGTCCAGGTGGTACCTTGTACAGGTGGGATCAGACTGGTGTGATCATCAAATGCTATCACAATATAAGCATTGCTAAGAAATACTACAGAAACATGAGGCATTGTAGTCTTTCTTTTTTCTTTTCTTGGTGGCCTATGGGTTTGGTTATAATTGTCACTTGGCTTCTGCTCCCCGTATCCCCCGTATCAGATTTGTTAACACTTTTTGTTAAGAATGCAATGGGTTTTCTGAAAAAGTTCACAACAGTGCAGGACTCTTCTGTTTTCTGTAAGTCCTGAATTATTTCCCACTGCCACATAGTCAGCACCTTTGGTGGTTGTGGAACCATGATAGCATTTACTAGTAAGTTCTTGATCTCTTTTTTCCCCTGCTCTTTACATAAATGAAAGTAATGTAATATATTCATATGTTGGGCTTTGTTTACTGACATGTAAAAACAAACAACCCCCAGTTGACCCAAGAGCACTTATGTCCTTGTTAGACTAGGGCTGGGGGTAATTAATTTATCAAGCAGAATTGTGCTTGCAGGTTTACTGGGAAACTGGGGTGTAACTGGCTGACCTCAGGTAGCCATATGATCACAAGCACCATCTATGCAGCACCATAATATTTGAACAAGTCAGTGAAAACTACTAGCCCAGGTTGCTAGCTATAAAACAACAGTGCTGCAGCAAGACTGTAAAACTGTCCAGGAAGAAATGTAGTACACAGTAGCCTTAAAAAAATTGAACTTGAAAACAATGGGATTGAGACTGTGCCATGGACAAGGTGGCTGAATTGTTTAACTGTGCCAGAGGATTTGTAGTGTGGCTCTCAAAAGTAGATATGTTTGGTCTAAAATGAATTGTGTTGCAAAATTGAAAAAAAGGCATTTCAGGATGCTAACTGCTGATAAAATTACTTACATTTTCTTCAGGACACTTGTGTTTTTGAGAACACCCATATCTAACAGACATTCTTCAAAAGAAAATTCCCAGAAAATTGTAATTAGCACTGTTTTCTTTCTATACTTGCATAAGATGAGAAGCAGTTTGTTTGTTTGTTTGTTTTTAAGGAAAAAATAATGAGTGAATAGTTTCTGTCTGAATGCTAAGAAAAAAACAGATTTAGAAAGTATACATTCTTGTACAAATAAGGACCATTTCGTACTACCCAGAAGTAACTATGGGATTTAAAAATCCTTCTCTATAGAGCTGCACACTAGTTTGTCAGACAGATTGTTTGGATTTCCATCACTCAGACTTAGCTAAGTGTCCAAAAAGAGAAAATCACTGGAATTTCAGATTTGGGTAATCCTCTAAACTAACCTGTTTTCCCAGCTAGGTAAATTTTATGTTGATTTAGGGAAAG